ACAGCTTCTTCCGGTGCCGTTCTGTCAAAGGGCTCATGTTGTGGGGTGGGCTGGCTCTCTCTGCTGCACTTAGAGAACCCCAAAGTAGCAGATCTAGGCATGGCGCGTGCAGGTCAAGAACACACTGAGTCAGTTTCTGTCAAAGTTCCACACAAGCCCCCACCATTCCTTAGACCATTCGTCAGGACCCATTTCTCATCCTGGGCCCAAGAGCTCAGAGCTTCACATGCTTTCCTGCCGTAGGAGACCAAGGAGAACGTGGTTTAGGTACGAGCATGCGATAACCCTGGTGAGGAAGATTCATCCTTACAGCTCCTTGCATCTTGGTAGTACTGAGGTTAACCGATTATGCTTTTAGAGGCTCCTGAGGGCTTCCCTCAGCCGTGCCAGCACCCTCCCCCCTCATCCTAGGGAAGAGTCCATTCTTACAGGAAAGAAGAGACCCAATGCCCTCAGCAAACTGGTGGTTGAGGAAGGACCAAAGTCCTCCAGCTGTCCGACTCTGGGTTCGGCTTTCTCCTCTGAGGAGGACAGCCTGGCCATCAGTGGCTGCTTGCCGAGCGTGGGAAAGCGCTGCTGAGCCAAAGCAAGGGCTGCCCACTAAAAACAGATGTGTGGTTTGTTCTTCCTATCACGAGGGGTCCTTTAGAGTATTTTTCAAGATCACAGAGCCTGCAAAAATAAAAGTGAAGAAGGGAAACCCTTGTTTGAAGCGTATCCGAGGGCCTGTGGAGTGGGCTCGGCAGGTAAAAGTGGCTCTCACAGAGGACACAGAGCTAGTTCTCAGCACTCACAGTGTGACAGTGTGGCTCCCAACCATCTGCGGCATCCGCTTCACAGGATCGGGTGCCCTCCTCTGACCTCCATAGGCGCCACGGATGAGTTGCACAGACACGCTTGTAGGGGAAACACTAAGGCACATAGAATGAAAAAAAATCTTAAAAATTAAGGACACTAGAGAGACAAAGAGCTTAGAAGGAGCTGGCCCTGCCCTTTTTGTCTCTTGGCAGATCACAAGATGAGCGAAGCTACTGCCGTCTCCCTTGTTTTGCTTTTGTTTGTTTGTTTTGTTTTCTTACGCTCTATGTTTCTCCTGAACTGTAGAGTCTTACAGTTAATCAAGTCATAATAATTTATTCAGGCAGATTTCCAGAAGCCCAAAGACTTGCTCATGAGGTGTGGTTGGTACTGGAAGCTAAACCGGAGCTGAGAGTGCGTGTGTGCACCCCTGTAGTTCTGGTGTTGGGAGACAGGGGTTGGAGGGTCCCCGCAAGTGTGAGGCCGGCCTGGGTGAGACCCTGCCTCAGCAACGAAACGACCCAAAAAAGCAAAGGGCAAAATGACAAACAAAGAGAGACGGGGAGGGGCCTTAGGTTATTTGACACAGAATGGAGGTGCGTTTCATCTTGGCGGCATCCAGAAAGAACGGTTGTAGTTTGATCTTTGCCATTTGCAAGCCTTGCACCCTAAGTGCTGTCTCCCGGAGGCACCCGAGGGTGCGCTGGGGTGGCCGAGGAAGGATGGAACCACTGCCATGTGTGCGGAACTCCAGGGGGCGGAGGAGAGGGCCTAGGTCTCCTTATCTCCGTGTTAGCTCCCGAAGCACACCTGCTGCCCGATCCAGATTATTTCCCACGCAATGAGCCGGACGAGGGTGTACCGAAAGAAACCAACCCCACTGCCAAGGGCATGACTCGGGTCTGATCTCCTCATTCATCTTCTGTTCGTCCTGTCTGCTGGGACCGTTTTCTCCGTCTTGCCCCACTTATCCTCCATTGCTGAGTATCTGCAGCAGCGGTCCCTAACCTCACCACTGCACTGTATGGGAGAGTATAAAATGATCGTCCTTTTTAGATTTCAGTAAAGGGAACCATTTAGAAAATAGACTAAAAGGGGGGGTGACCCTGGTTTAGGGAGGGTGCCTTTAGTCCCAGCACCCAGGAGACAGAGGCAGGAGGATCTCTGTGAGTTCAAGGCTAACCTGACCTACCTAACAGGTTGCAGGCCAGCCAGAAATACACAGGGAGACTGTGTATCACAGGAGCAAAAAAACAAAAACAAAAACAAAAAGACAAACAACAAACAAACAAAACAAAAACAAAAACAAAAAACAAGTGTAATATTTTTAAATTTTGGCCTGTGTCCGAAGTATAAAGAGGATTTGTCATCTTATTTTTGTCTGTCCTTGTGTTTCATGAACTGGAGTCCATGTGGCTCAGGCGCCTGGCTAGCATGCACTTCTGTGCCGCAGAATGGGACTCAGAGGGTCTGGGTGTGCTTGGGAGGGACCAGCAGTAACTGTGGCTCCTGCCCGGTCCCACTGCCCAGTCCACCCACCCACCCCCATTACCAGGTCCACCATCCCACCTGGTACTTTGTGATCAACAGTGGAAGAACACTGACGCTTCTTCTCTTCTATTTGGGAAAAGGAAGTTGGAAAAAAGTATTTTTCAGCATATTGAATGAGGCCTGACCTGATATTTTGTGGTTGATCTTGGGTCTGGAAAAACTGAATTGTCTTCTGGTTTGTGGTCTGACCTGTTTATTTATGATCCTATATGAAATTCTACTTATCCTATACCCAAGATGTGCTCTGTTGAGTTGACTTGGTGTTCCTGAGTACTCCCAGGGCCTTTCTGTGAGGAATGTTTGGGGCTGTCCCATTTTATCATGAGGTTTATTATGGATGTTGCTCATAGTCATGGCAGCCACTGAAATATTTGGTCCAAATAGACATAACTCAGATCTATACATTTTTTAAAAATGGAGTTTTACATGTAAAGTCAAATGGTACTGTAAACCCAACCCTCCCATCTGTGGGATAAATGAGGATTTAAGAACATACCAGAACAACTTTTCCAGCATTTTGAAGGCAAGTCCCATATCCAAGGAGAAACCTTGGTCCTGGGTAAATGGTATGGACTTCTCTGGGACTTCTTCAGCTTTAAAATTAAAAGTCCATTATCTGAGGAATGTAGTTCGTCCCTGGTTATCTGGGATGGTACATAATGCCAGTATAAACTGAATTTCTCATATATAAAGTTATATACTAAACTGACAACTGTGGAACAAGATTTCTCACATTCTTTGACTGAGAAATTGGAATTCTCAGACTCTCACATCCAGACAGGAACAGAATGGTTTGGGTCCATCTGGGCTGAGGCTATGACCTCTGAGCTCGGACTCTCTTCACCAGTGAGAGTCTGGTCCTCACTCTCATCTCACTGTGGAGTCTGCTCACAGATGGGAGTTTGCTCAAGATGCTGTTATAGTCATGCTGGATTGGCAGACATAGGGCAAGGATGAGCAGAGATTGGAAAAGCAATAAAAGGCCCCGGAAGTGAAGTCTGGAGGGCAGGGTCCTTGGCACACTCAGACTGTATGTTGAGGGGAGAGTGTAAGACCCAAGATGGTGGATGGCTGGACAGATGTGAAGATGGCCTGCTCACTTGGAGGTGTGGAACTTCCCCTCATCACGGCCCTCACTGTGGAGGACGGCATTTGCTGTGGGGTCTTGCCAAAGGGAAAAGGCTTGAGAGGATCAGTGGGTGGCTTACACATGCCATCAGAGGGTGCAGCTCTGCCGTTTCTCACTGCTCAACTCACTAGACGATTTCCAGACTCCACGCAGGGCGGCCCACAAGTCAGCTGCTTTACAGGCTGCTGAAATTCTAAGGCTGGATATGTTGAGAGTATATTTCAAAATCACTTCAGAACTATATCAGCAGTGATGAAAGCCATCAAATTGTAATTGAAAGTTTTGAATGATTGGTTTTATATGAGTTAACACAGCACGGCCACAGGTGGCTACGCAGGTTGTAGAATGTGCATTTTCGAGGGGTGCTGTTTCTACAGATGCCAATGGCATGTTTAGGCGGCATCCCTAAACTGGAGCACACAGCCATCCATTTAATTTTTCGTCTATAAGACAGAGATTCTTTTACTGAAGCGTATTACAATTCTAATTTGAACACTAGGGCCATTTTTGCTTGTTTATTCATTTAGGCTAACCTTGATTATTATGCACTGGGGAAGTTACAAGCCGAAAACTGGCTTATCTCACTTTGTTTTGATGCCGGGGCTCAAAGGCGAAATGAAACTGAATAAGCTTTGTGGCCAGAAGTTTTGCTGTTGAAAGGCAAAGACTAAAAGTGCAGGGAGGCTCTGTGGGAATGAATTTTGCAGTCACTTAACTGTTAATGCTGAGCGTATTTCCAAGCATACTCGCCTACAGACCGGGCGGCCAGTGCCCAGGGAACAGGAAGCAGGCCTTCATTCACCAGTTCTTGTTGGCACCAAGTTTGAACATTTAAAACATTTTTTTTTCAAACTTCATAGAAAGACCTCCTAACAGGATACTCTGATCAAGTTGGTGATCACACAGCCACGCAAATAGCAAATCTGTTATTTGTATTTATTTTCTGGTAGAAAGTGTATTTCAACCTCCCACCAGCCAGTGACTCCAGGAGGGAAGTGCATTTTATGTTTCTGGGTTGTTAGTGTGAAGAAGCCTTGGGACTCTTGTTTCTGGAGATGGGGGTATAGAAAAAAAAAAGTGCTTTGCATGAGGTGATAACATGGATGAATGGTCGGGGAAACTCCCAAACAGTAACCCCCAAGCATCAGAGGGTCATAAAAACGCTATGAAAATTACTGTCTTTGAAATAAAAATATCCAAACTATGGTTGACACATTTAGCTGTAGAGTGGAAATAGCATAAGGACAAATGGCCAAAATGTACTGATTTTTTGTTTTTTTTACCACACTGATGTGATTTCCCACTTTTTTTTTTCTTTTTTGAGGGGTGGAATTGAGGAAGGAGACGGTTTTCTATGTAGGGAAACCAGAATCCTAGCTCTTACGTACTTGTCCCAAGGGGCGGCCTACCTGGTTTTAGAAACATCAGGGGATATTAAACATAGTTCACTTGGTAGAGCTGAGCAGTCGTTAACTCTAAAATGTGTACTTACAGATATTTTTTAATGTGTTTTGCTTTTCAGAGACAAACCCAAATTACCCTGAAGACCTCTATGAAGGTAGCTATCATGTTTCTTCACTCTCTCTATTTTTTTTCAAAATGTTTGTGTATAATAAAATAAATGAGCTAAAAGAAGACCTGTAAACTGAGTTAAATACACATTTTTAAGTGCTACATGAGCAAAAATAACATCTCAAGTATCACTCGGTATTGATGGCTCTCTTCCCTTGATATTTACAATGCCTCTAAATAGCACTTTCTCGCTCAAGCTCTCTTCTTGGAAGTAGTAAATCCATTCTGCTCTCACAGACATTTTGTTTCCGTAATTGGGAATTAATCACCTGTGGCAACCAAGGGAAGGGAGGCCGATCACCTCCAGGCCTGGACAGGAAACACAGATGAAACTTTCCTGTACCGTGCAGAAGGCAGCAGGTAGACAGGAGCATCCAAGGCGGAGCCTTTACCTGGAGCCGCTCAGCAGCCACAGAGCCATGCCAGTGACACCCTCAGTCCCCGCTTCCTGTTTCACCATCCGCTGACCCGCTTTGCTAGGGCTGCCTTCCTTGGTGGTGTGAGCCGATGCTGAGGTGGGGCCCACCCAGACCATGGTCCATCTAACCGGTTCTTCCTTCTGAGAAGCCCGACTGCTTAGCCCTGACTTAGCAGCCGAATCCGAGGAGGGCAGGCCAGTTTCCCCGGGGGTGGAGGAGCTGAAAACCTAACCGAAGTAAAGCCTGTTTAGGGACTTGGAAGAGGAGGAACCCAACAGGCACGTTAATGACGGCTTAGCTGCTCATCTTTACTTGGTGACTGACTGCCAGGGCCACATTGATGGGCATAAAAAGTCTCTAGCAGATTTCCAAACTACCACTGTGATCATAAAGCCACCAAATTTAGAGAAGTGACAGGCTTTGTTTCAAGATGGGGACTAAAATTGAAAATGATTAAAATTAGATTCTCTGGAGTGTTGTATTTTTTTTTAAAGTCCTTTGTTCTTTAGCTTTTCACTTACATGTGTTAATCTGTTGTTCCTGTTTGTTGGTTCTATATCATGCCCTTCCCCAACAAACACCACACTGACTGTGAACTCTACAGAGGAGATCTCCATTGAACATGTTTTTCCTGTAGACTGTCCTATGCTCATTACACGTATATTTAACTCCAGCCAATTATGGGAATTATGTTGCTTTTACCTGGGTCTGCATGCTAATCCATATTTTGTCCAGCTTGTGGCTTGATTGATTTTATGCAGGTAAATTGAACATATATATAATTTTGCCTGCTAGGGCTTTAAGAAAAACATCTTTCAGATTATACCACACAGCATGAGGTTTGAACAACAACTTTTGCATTCTAAAGTTATGTTTTGAATTTCTTTTCAATAACTTCAAAACTTTAAAAATGTCATCTTCTCAGTTGCCTCAGATTCCATTTTGGGCCTTTTGGCTGAGATGTCATGGTTTTAAACCAGAGACATTTACAATGGTCTAAATTTTGAATGGCTACTTGGCTATACTACAAAGAAAAAATAGTAAATAAATGATGTCTGCTTATGTTTGAAATCAGTGAGTTTTAAGATATTGCAAATAAACACTGTTAAAATGCGAGTTTGGGCATTAAGAATATAACAACAAACACAGAAAATAAATGCTTTTTCTGTTATTTTTTTCACTCGCATTCAAAGGAGCATGCTGCTAATAAAGATGTACTCTGAATTGTTTGCCCTGAAGCCTATCAAAGGGTCCTCACTCTCTTCTCAAAGGGAGCCAGGCTGGGGCTGAGTTAATGAAGCTGCTTTTGCCGGATGAAAATGAGGGGCACTGTTCCTACTTAGAACTCAGTCACAGATATTTATAAGCAAAGCTGTCTGCAGTCAGCAGTGTGCTGAGAAGTTTCTGCGCTGTGGAGTGCTGACAATAAATACTTTGAATGCCCATGAAAATCAGCTGACTGTTCCAGCCCTAATCTATGTAGACGAAAACTGATCTAGACCATGGTGACTTTGAGACTTGTGGCAACAAAGACACATCTGTATGGCTACTTAGAATGTTGGCCTATTTACTATGGAATATTAGCATGTCTGACCTCTTTTGGAAATTCCTTTGTGGACCCAGGTTCCACAGTGAGGCTCATATCAGGTCGCATCTTAGGCCAAAGAGATACTCCTACCCAGAAATCAGTGTTGTCTTCCAAGTCTGGGTTATTGTGTGGCTCTGAGTACGTCTATGTGGCCTCAGCCTTGCATTTCACCCTCCTGCTGACATTTCTCGCCTTTGAAACGAACAGCCTGCCCTGCCCTCCAAAGATTCTTGATGTGAAAAGCATCCACTGCTCCCACCCTTGCTGCTTTTAAAGGTGGTACCAATAAAGGGATGTTTCCTTATGAGCAAAGGAGGAAGCTTAAGCCAGTTAGCAAAACCTCGGAGAGATGGAGATTGACTGCTCCTTTTTCAGTGCTGCCTTCCAAGCATAGAGCCGAGCAGCCAGGCACATTCCCGCACAGCCAGGCTGTCCTTACAGTGACTGGGACCCCCTGGGTTCGTTTTGCCCTGTTCTTGGTCTCACTGTGGCCCTCTGTGTATCAGCAGCCTACCTATGATCTTGTGTTCTTTTTCTTTCTCTTTTCTCCAATTCAAGACTGGACCGCGGCGACTGACATTGGGGACACCACGAACAAGAGCAACGAAATCCCTTCGACAGATGTTGGTGACCAAACCAATCGGGAGCACCTCTCGGTGAGTGGTGCAAACAGGGACTTGACTTCCTGCGTTGGTTCTGGAGGCTCCTAAGTTGCTGGAGAAATTGCCGGTGCTTTCATAAGACATAGTTATTGTTCAGGTGTGAGCAGGCCATCAGAGACTGAAGGGTCTACGAGAAAGGTTCGGAAACACTGATGTAGAAGCCATGCAGCCTCTGACTATGTGAATTTCTGGTAGTGCACCACATATTTGATTTTTCTGATATTTTGTTTGTTTTAATTTTATGTGTGTGGATGCTTTGTCTGAATGTGTAGCTGGGCACCATGTGTGTGCAGTACCCAAGCAGGCCAGAAGAGGGCGTCAAGTCCTCAGATCCTAGGGAACTGGAGTTCTAGAAGGCTGTTAGTGGCCATCTCGGTGCTGGGAACTGAACTCAGGTCTTCTCCCGCCAGCCTCAGAACCACGTTTGCTTTATTTCTTCGTCTGTGTGAATGTGTATCTGCAAGAGCCAGGAGGAAGCAGGGTCCAGAAGGGCACGTCAGATTCCCTGGCGCTAAGCCAGCCGATGTGGGTGCCGGGAACAAAATTCGAGTCTTCCGGAAGACTGGCAAGTGTTCTTTAGTGTGGAGCTATCTCTCCGGCCCCACGCTGCACCACTTTCAATAGTTATTACTGCCTCAAATATCTGTCCTTTACAACCCCTGGGAAATAGGAAAACCAATGCACATTCAAGGACCACAGTCACATCTATATTCATATATATAAAATTTAGATGTCTGCCGAATAATAGGAATCCAGTTGACTGTAGAGTGTGAGGAAGAGAAATCAGGCCTGTCTTTTGGACAGGGCCCCTGGGCGGTCGTGGTGTTCAGCACAGCCTGCGCAGCGGTCTGCAAACCTGGTGTGGGTACTTCCCTGGAGGGCTCAGGCTGCGGCTGAAGGTCTTGAAGCAGTCCTGGGCGATTAGCCTTGTGCAGCCATTGAAACATCTGTCGTTCCCAGGGTTCTGTGGTGGAATCAGCCTGGCAGCTGCTCTGGCCGGACCCCCACAGCATCGCGTTAGCATGTCCTGTGAGCACTCATAACCCTGAATCCTCCCATCTCTCCCTCTGCTACCACAGCTGACCAGGTTCAGCAGAACAGCCCCAAATGTTGGGCTCCTCCTCTGGCACTATTTTTCCCCATTAGGGTTGGCAGGTAACGCCAGGCCGTACATTTTTAACCTGACTTGGAAAAATGCTTGGTGACATGCAAGTCCTATGAAAGTCAGATTTTTTTTTTAGTTTCTTTTTTTTGTTACGTGGCTGAGTCAATCCAACTAGGCTGCTGGTAGCCATTATCACAATGATCTCACGGTGCCCACAACGTTCCCATCAGCATTCTGATACTCTTCCTCCCAGATAATCGTCCTCCTGGTAACCAGAAACCAAACGTCCAAACCACACATAAGCGGAACTTTTAAAAAACTCCGTAAAATGGCGGTTGATCTCACACACAGGTTTCCATACCCCTCCGAGTTAGAAAACATCAGCTTTCGACACTACCTTCCCTGCTCTCGCCTTCCTGTCCAAAGTTTTAACATCACGTGTCAGTCACACACACAACACACACACACACACACACACACACACACACACACACACACACACACACACAC